TCATAAATTAATACTTCTCATTTACCTGTTGAGGTCTGTGAGAGGTTTACTTTAATGTAATGGCAAAATTATTTTTTTCTTGTTGTGCCTTTGTTATAGCGACAACATTGACAGCACCAGGGAAAATTAGCATTGGCCCCTGATGTAAACAGACATTTAGTTGGATAAATGGCAAAATCAGGATACTGATATGAATGCATAAAAACCTTTGCTCTTGCATTCCAGAACAAGAAAGAGAAAACAGCAAGAGATAAACTAATGGGCAGGATGTATCGCATGAAGCAGAAAACATCATCAGCATTTAATGTGAACAGGAAACCAAACAGGAAAGTTAAAGAAATGAGAATGGAAACATAGACTTGTAAACTAGAAACAAAATTGTGAAATGAGAAACCCAGTGGCGTTACATTAACCATAGCAGCCCACACAACTATTATGGCTCAAGGGGTGGAAGGGGGACTCAATTAGGGTCAATTTTGGGGCAAACTACATAAAATGAACATTGTATCATAGTAATATTGGGGACAGAGGGGTTAGTTGGAAAATGAATGTTAAAAGTTAAGCTGGCCATAGATAGATCAAAATTTGTATGGCCAGAACTGGCCAAATTTCAGTCCATGTATGAGCAGGCTGGTTGTACTAAAATCGATCTCTCAGTCGACTTCAGTACAAACAGCCTTTCTATTTTTTTTCGCCCAGTCACTGCCAGAGGTTATGGCCACCAATAGCCACCAACAGTAATCATTGTATACTACCGGCAGGGAAGACTGCCCACGTTTCCCGCAGGCAGAATACCATAAAGCTGTGGGAGGTATTCTCCTATTAATACTGTTTGTGTTAATGGGGAAATTGAGCAATTTTCTTTCCTTCAGACCAAGGTTAAAGGAAGGAAACTTGCATAATGTATGACCTGACTTAATTCCCAACACTGATGCCCCCTTCACTTCTGAACACAGTAATGTTGTCAGCTCTCCTGGTGTCCTGGGTTTAGAACACTTTTTGGAGGTTGCCAAGGGCCCTATAAAAATGTTTGGCCCCATGTACTGTAATTACACCCTGAAGAAAACACTAACGATTTGTTCACAGTTCAAATACATTTTACAAAACAGGAAACATATTCAAGGATGTTTTTGAAACAAGTGTCTGCAGCAACAGGAACCACAAAATTATAATGAACACATGACTATATCAAAAAATATGAATAGAACAGAAAGAAAAAAGTAAAAAGAGTGAGACAGCAAAATGAAGAATGACAGCACAAAATGTGTTTTTTTTTAATGAAGTGACTTTTCTCTTAAAAAAAAACAACAGTTCCACACACCACTGAAAAATTAAAACAAGCATTCTGTTATCTATTCTGATCCCCGTAAAGGTGGCATTAGACATATAAGGGATGTTAACTGTGAAGATGTGATTCTGTTCCTCAAAGACATAGCTCTAAGCTGGCTGTTTCCTAAACACCACTCAAATGTACATGTTTCAATGGAGAAGGGAGGAGTAAGAGGCTGAGATGTCTTCCACAAATTAAACATCTGGGAGATGGGGGGAGACAGTAGCGATTTCCAAAGATTTTTAATACAGTCAGACTAATATTTTCCCCTCTTATTTGTTGGCTGGGGGATGTCTGCTGCTAATAAAGACTTAACATTTATCACTACACTGCCCTCTTTAACAAAATCTAACTGCAGTGAAAACACAGCCACCCTACATTAAAATACCTAAAGGTCTATAAGGTCTATTTATAAAATATTTTCTGTGCCAAACTTAAGAATTTGAACAACCATTGCAAATAATCTCTTTAATTTGTGTAATATGTTTAGTTCCTATGATTGTAATAATTGCAGTGGTCAGGTTTGATGGGATAACTCATTTGCATATACAGGACTTGTGCATAAAAAACATTTTTACTACAAAGTAGGGTTGCACCAATACCGATCCCGATACCAAGTACTTGCACAGGTACTCAAACTCGTGCAAATGCTCCCGATACAGAAACCAATACCTTTGTTGTGTGATTTGAACCCATACAAAATTAATGGACTCAAATCACACTGCAAAGAATTGCATGCAATTTGAACCGGAACAAATTGCATGCAGCTTTCTGTGCAGTTCCTGTGTAAACCCAGGCTTGTCATAGTGAATTTAAATCTGAGTTCACACGGGAGCGGTGTGGGAAACCTCCCTGCATGACGGGTTCCACCAGCTCCAGCTCCCTGCATGACAGATTCCACCAGCTTCAGCTCCCTGCATGATGGCTTCCACCAGTTACAGCTCCCTGCATGACGGGTTCTACCAGCTCCAGCTCCCTGCATGACAGATTCCACCAGCTCCAGCTCCCTGCATGATGGGTTCCACCAGCTTCAGCTCCCTGCATGATGGCTTCCACCAGTTACAGCTCCCTGCATGACGGGTTCTACCAGCTCCAGCTCCCTGCATGACGGATTCCACCAGCTCCAGCTCCCTGCATGATGGGTTCCACCAGTTACAGCTCCCTGCATGACGGGTTCTACCAGCTCCAGCTCCCTGCATGACGGATTCCACCAGCTCCAGCTCCCTGCATGATGGGTTCCACCAGTTCCAGCTCCCTGCATGACGGGTTCCACCAGTTCCAGCTCCCTGCATGACGGGTTTTCCCCCCTGCAGTTACATCTCCCTGCATGACGGGTTCCACCAGTTACAGCTCCCTGCATGACGGGTTCCACCAGCTCCAGCTGTGGCTTGGGCTCCTCCTTCCGCTTGCCTCTCCAATGGCTCTCTCCCCCCCCCAGCCTCCAGTGGTTCCAGTTTCATCCACTGGGCCCTCTCCCCATCATCATCCCGGGTCCCGTTGTACCAGATAGCTGATCCCTGATATCAGACACTGAAAAGACGCTTCACCAGTTTGGGGATTTAAAAACCCGTGTGGTTTTCTCTCCTCTCCTTGCAGTGCTGATAGTATGGGCAACACGGCTTGTGATTGGACAGCCCTGTCCATGTACCACATTCCTGTTAAAATTGCATGCAATTCTTTTGCAGTGCCTTTTGAACCCATTATTTTTGTATGGGCTTAAATCGCACCACAAAGGTATCTGTACTTGGTATCGGTGAGTACTTGACCAAAAGTATCGGTTTTCATACTCGCTGGTAAAAAACAGTACCGGTGCATCCCTACTACAAGGTACTGATACATATTTGCAGCATAGCCATTTAGCTGTATATTGTGTTTTTGGCTGAATCTAGAGTTCTCCTTAAATGTTGAAATTAATGGCAAATCTTATGAGTGGCTGTATTAAATCCACTTGGAATTTTAGAACTCTATCACAGCACCATTCTGCGCCTATGCAAATCATGAATAAAAATATTTGTACATCTCTTTTAAAAATGAGTTGCAATTATGTCCTAAAATTTACAAAGAATCTATAATTTGTATTGCTTTCATAGTCAAGGTAGGCTTTCAAGTTGCTGAAAAAATGCATATTAAAATGCTCGCCTACCTCTGAAAGCATAACAAGCACTTTAGTTTTGTAATGTGCTTTCAACAAATAATAGCTTTTTAGCAACAGAGATTATTCGATACGACCATCTATAATAATAATGTTCCATTTCAATGCTTTTGCATTTAGTTATTGTTATTTCCATTATCTATATGTTTCATAAATATTTTGAAGGTACAATCTTATCCTAGAAATCTGGCCAAGTGGGCATTTTGCCAGAGGGCCTATTGTGCCTGAATATAATTGGGTTGGTCAAGGCTTTTTAACATCTGTTAACATCTGTTGGAATTGAATTTTTTTTTTAATCCGATTACTCATTTATATGATTTTGAACAAGCGAGTTTAGTGTAGCAGTACCATGATAGTAGCATCCTCCTGAATTCCCATATCTTATGTTTATTTATAATATTTCACAGGAGTAAGTATCTTCTGTTTTTCTTTGTTAATTTTGATATCTCTTTATTGATCCAAACACATGTTCCTTGGTATTATAAATGAAGACAATCAGTTTTATAATATTTTATACTAGCAGACAATGTGCAAAAAGGCAGCGGGTTTGGTGATACTATATTGTATTTAGGATATGTGTTTGTTACATTATGTATTCATTATTTAGTAGAACTCCAGTGAGTGCAATATGTAGATGGAGTGATTGTTCCCTCTGGTGGAATAGAATGTAACTGTGTGAGCTACTCTAGAACTGAATTAGTAAACTATTGTCATTGTCTCTTGGGGCTCTAATTGGCTATAGCCTAATGTTCCTTCTTTTCTATTAAAATAAGTGAACACTTAATGCCGAAATACACTGCCTTGCACAAAATAATAAATACTAACTACCAACAGAGATAAATGGAAATTGCAATACAGATTTAAATCAGTCTTAATCACTGGAAAGTAATAAGCATTATGGCTAAATTTGAGCGAATATATTATTTCATTTTGTTAGCTGCTCAATCAAAATGATGTTTGATGGCTCTTCAATGAATGTTACTGCAGGTATGCATCACCTAAACAGCCAGTGCTAAAATACTTTAAGCCTGTTTTTCACTTGCGATAATGGCTCTCCCAGTCACATCCTAGAAGTGCTTGGTTGGGACAAATCACATTTTTGTTTCACAAAGAATTTGTTTTTAATTTTCCAGAAAACACATTAGGGCATAATGAACGTCAGGGAGTACAGAGATGCAATCTGCAAAAGGCTCCACCAGAATACTAGAACACAGTACACAAATTTGAATATCGTGAGTTATTAGGAGGCAAAACCTTCCAGGCTTATTCAAAGGGCATGGGAAATTAATAGTTCTTGTCAGCTATTGTGGGCACCTCTACAATGTTGGAGGGGGAGAAGCATTAAATACTTCATGAAGGAGTGCTGGAGCAGGAAGGAGAAGCAAGAAGAGGCAAGATGAGCCAGAGAGGGAAGACAGGAGAGAACTGAAAAGAAGAAAAGAGGTAATAGAGATGTTTTGCCTGGAATGGGCAAAGAAAGGAGGGAGAGAGAGGAGGCGGGAAGGGAAAGTCATATGGGGGAACACACGTAGACCAGCGGCTGGGGTATCTAAGGGCAACGGTGAAGTGAGTCAGACTGAGAGCAAGGTTTGGTATACATTCAGATGCAGGGACGGACTGACAACTCATGAGGCCCCCAGGCAATAGGGGATCATGGGGCCCCTGTGTCCTTGCCCGAACTCAAAAAAGACTATAAAAAAGGTACCAGGGGCATTTCATGGGGCCCCCTACTGACCCCGAGCCCTCGGGCAGTGCATGAGTGCTCTAATGGTCAGTCCGCCCCTGTTCAGATGAGCATTATAGGATATTCAAGGATCCCAGATCTTTAAGAATTTGGCATGGGAGTCCTCAAGGATAGAAGTGAGCTTCTCATGGACCATGGTCCCCATTAGTCTTTGCTGAACCTTAAGAAAGTTTAGGTAAATGTGCCGCAAGGCGCGCGCTCTTGACACGTGTGCTTACTTTGGGTACGCAAATGTGCGGCGTCAATGCCCAGCTGCCGAGAGGCCGCATATTTGCATACCATCTGCACCAACAGGTTAACAAAGCAATAACTACTTTTCCACCGAGACTACAGGACACAGGATTGGCGATGAGAATGTCCATTCTCTCTCTGAAGCAGCCTGCACCTTTTCTTGTACACCCTTGGTGAGTCTGTGATGTCATTTAGCGCTTGGATTCATATGTTTGAGAATGACATACTTGCTGCTAATTAGGAGGACATACCTATTGCTAGAAAGCAAGCTTTAATTACTGGGAGCAGAAGCACAAAGTATTTTCTATACTCTATCAGCATTAGATGACATTTATGAGACAGCTCTCATTATATTAAAGAGTTCTCATTGTATTAAAGAGTACTACTTATTCTTTGTGCCTAAAGCAAATGTGGTTGCAGACCCATATAAATTCCATCAATATGGACAGCATAATCGTTAATCCAGAGTGCAAATTTTACTTTGAAAGAGTTGCTTGCTACCTGTGAGTTTAGTGTTTTAACAGATGAAATGATTAGAGACCAAGAAATGCAAATAAAATCTCAGCCTGCATTTGAGAAAAATTACTCTCAGAACATTTTACAACACATTACAAACTACGCTGTGGGCCCTGCAAAAAATGCATGGTGCCGTAAATACAAGAAAATGGAACACTGAAAAAATCTGGCATAATTCTACTGCTAGACAGGTTCATGAAGGTACTGCCCCAGAGGTTACCATCTTAAGGATAGACAAATGTGACACTTCCATTCCAGAGAAACGTTTGTGCTGCAATTATTACTATTATTATTACTGTTTCTGTTAACAATGGTTTATCCATTATCCTGATGCTTGATAAAGGATCTCGTGTCTCTATACTATCTAAGGAAATATCTGCTAGAAATACTTCATAAATTAACCAATTACTGCTCCTATTTTTAAAACTGGTTAGTTTATCTTAAGTCAGCCCTAGATGGATCAAATCTTGGCTCATTCAGCAGGGACCAGCCAAGATTTGATCCATCCATGGGCAGGCTGATTGTACCCAAGTGGATCTATCGATTTGACTTGGGTACAACCAGCATGTCAGATTTTTAGCATGTGATTATTGCCAGTGACTAAGACTGCTAGCAGTAATCATTGTGTTCTCTGGGCAGTGATGTCCCCCCCCCCCCCCCCCCCCCCTCGTCAGAAGCACACAATAGCTCAGTGGGAGAGATTGTGGGAATTGAGCAATTTTCTTTCCTGCAACCATAGGTTGCAAGAAAATGGCATCATCTATGGTCTGCCTTAGAGATCATATTCCTGTATTAGGTTTCCTGTCACTGACTGTAACATTTCAATCAATTAGTGTGCAAGCTGAATTCTACATTGTATAGAAAGGCACTACTGTACTAGGTGGGGATCTTTCTGCGAATAGTTCAGGAAGTTGTGGTCAGATTTCGGTTCCCTCGGGCATCCTATACACCCCTTACCCTACCCAAGTTCTATTCCCCTCAATAAATTAACAGAACAAATGCTCAAGGACTGATTTCTGTCTACAGATTAGAGCTTGTGTGAAGAAATGCTAAATGACTGGCTGTGCAGGGCTATAGGGGGATCCAAATTCATCAGCAATCCCTAAGGGGGTAGTGCTACAGACAAAACAGGCTCCACAAGCATTTCGTGGGTTGAGGCCATCCAACTTTATTTAAGGTTTTATTAAACCCAAAAGCAAACATTCATTATATTGCAGCTTCCGAATTCTTAGATGTGATATCCACATTTATTTTCTTTTTTAGGCTTTCTTTCTTTTATTTTCATCTGGCAATCTGGCCAGTAAGTCAGTTGTTTTTCAAAAGAGCAAGCTCTCCAGCAGAATGTATCAGTTTACAATGTTTAGACAAACCATTTAACTCTATCAGGGGTGCTTACAATGGTCAGCTTTTGTTTATTTATGTAAAACCTTTATCCCAAAAGGAAAAAAAACTGTTTGCTGTAACTGCTTATAAAGTATTATCCCAAGTTGAGCTTCAACCTGTTAGGGCACCTTTGGGGAGCAATACTGCTGCTCAAAGGTGCCCCATGTGTCCATTCATCCACAGTGGGGGCACTCTAATACAAGAGGTGTGTTACTGGACAGATCACCAGGGGAAAACAGAAGGAAGAAAGACCTAAAAAATGAAAACTAATGCTGTCATCACATCTAATGATTGGTAAGCTGCAATAACATTTTTGATTTTGGTTTTAAATACCACATTAAGGTGAATATCGACCTTAGGGGATGGCAGGCACAATTTTATTTGGCTATAAATATACACGTTTATACAGAGACCTTCGCCCTGACTTATGAAGGAAAACAAAAGAATATACTCAAACTTTACTTGCCTTTTTGGCTGATCTGTTTTTTTAGATCGATTGACTGGAGTTTTGCTGGGGCTCAAAGACACAAGACCAATTTTAATTGTGTTTTGCCAATGACAAACTTAATGATCTTAAGGGTCTGTGTCTGTTTTTCTGCTATGAATTATTATTTTCCTGTACCTTGACTATGTTTCCTACTGTTGATGGAGATCTCTTTTCTCTTTGTTCAGCATTCCAGTTCATCACACAGTAATTTTGAGAATTACTTTTTAAGTGGTAATTACTAATTAACTAAGCAATAAAAATTAGTATGAAAATATCTATGTGTTTCAACATTAATTTGCTCCAGTGTACTTTAAAGAAGAATTGTAAAACTTATGCACACATTGCACATGAATTATAATTATTTGGTATGCATTTTAAAATGCTGCAATTTTTGTAAAGGTGGTAAGCCATATTTGAATAATTTGTATATGTCGTTGTGCTCATACATCTACCAAACATCAGGTCTTGTCAAACTGTGTATCTTTGACATTATTTAGGACATCATTTAGGGCATCACACTGCAGCTCCTAAACTCTTAAACTCATTAGGAGCTTTTCTGTGTTTTTTTTCAGCAGCCCCTGAACTCTCTAATGTTTTCCTATGTGTCCATGTACACTATGTCATTTACAGTCGTTTCAGGCAGTTGAGTTTACAGTCGTTTTTTTGAAAGCACCAAACTTGTGTTCAGGAGTAGATTTTATCAGCGTTTCAAATGCCAAATGCTTGATAACGCATGTAAACACAGCTAGCCACGTTTATAAGCATTTGCGTTTCGCAGCGTTTTTTAACTGTTCCATATCCAAATGCTGTCCGGAGCCTTTTTTCATCATCAGAAATGCATGCAAAGCATTTTCCATGTATTCAAATGGCCCTAGCACACCAGCGCAGTCAGTTCCAGGTTTTTCATTAAGGAAAAAAATGGTAGAACGTGCCGCATTATGCTCATGATGGGATCCATAGTGAATACAACCAAAAAAGACAGGTCATCTCAACACATACTGCTGTGTCTGCTTCTCTGCTCTCTCTATTTCTCTCAAAAATGTTTGAAACAGGGGTGGACTGGCAACTCATGGGGCCTCCGGGCAATAGGGGATCATGGGGCCCCTGTGTCCTCGCCCACACTCAAAGCACACCCAAAAAAGCCTATGAAAGGTACCAGGGACATCTCATGGGGACCCCTACTGACCCCAGGCCCTTGGGCATTGCCCGAATGCCAGAATGGTCAGTCCGCCCCTGGTCTGAAATAGTTAATTTTTTACTGTTTTTCAGAACATTCTGGGTATTTTGGAAGGTCTCCTGATCTTATCTTTAAAAAACGCTTCCAAACGCAAACGCGCATAAACGCGTATAAACACGGTATGCAAATGCAGCAAAACAGACTTTTTTACCCTAAGTTTTCCAGCAGTCAGTTTCCATCGTTCAGAAGTGTTTTCCAAATGTCCCGTGTACATGGAGCATTAAAGTCATCTGTAGTGAAATGTTTCTTGCTTCGCACCCACTGTTTATACGTCTCTCGGCATCATCCCTGACCCCAATGAAGGAAAATCATTAAAAGAAAAACTAATGGCATTACTTAAAAGAGAATAAGAAAAAAGTAAATGTGACTATGTATTTCTGACATAAATTTTGTAATAGTTCTTTTCTTCATATCTTAAAACTAGTTTCATTATCATGACATCAACAGGGACAACTGACGATAGAACAAGTTGGTCAAAGTAAAGGGAGACTGCATGTGTGAAGAGTTACAGCTTTGGTCTACAGGAGATGAGCAGAGCGGAAGTCTGCATATTTGTGTCTCCAAGGTGTGTTTATATGTGTGTGACTCCACAGTGTGCTTATTTTATAGTGAAAATGATCTGTTATTGCGGAAGTTCAATTTTATTCATTGAAATAAATTTTAACTCTTCAGAGAGCACTATGGTTTTTATTTTTGTATCTCTCTGAGCTGGTTTATATGGATTGATCCCTGATGCTTGGTCATAACTTGATAACATCAGTGGAGTGACAGGGTTTTCTTTCCCTGCACAGACATTCATTTTGGTTAACCACTTCCCACTCAGCCTATAGTCAAATGACAGCCGAGCAGGACATTCACCCTTCCAGGTGGACGTTATGTTTGTGACCAATCACAGAAGATCACATGACAGTTGAACACAATGGATGGTGTTCCTTCATGCCATCCATTGTGTACTACTGTGTTGATCTCTGTGATTGGTCACAGTTATCACATGGTACTGACAGGGCCAATCACAGCCCATCTCTACCATATGATTAGCTGTGGCCAATCACAGCTAACCATAATAGTGAACACTGAATGTATCAATTTTATGTAGTAGAAACTGTTGCTTATAAAAGTGAAATTCACTGGTATAAGCAGTCATAATGTGTTAAAAAAAATCCTGATCACTTCCCCAGAGCAGTACAATGCTACTATTATATTGCTCACAAGATTTATTTATCTATTTTTTTTTTACATACTGTCACCAGTTGGTGTTTCGATACCCACCACACCCAGTTAAATGATGACGTTGTACTGCACTGGTGACAGTATGTAAAAATAAAGTGAAAAAACATTTTTAAAAATGTCTTCATTTTCCAAAGAAATTGTGAAAACAAAAATGACAACTTACAAATTAAAACTCAGCATGCCTCTTACTAAGGTGTCCGTTTATGACACACAGAATAGCTGAGATTCAGAGGATCACAGCTATTCTCTGGTCATTCACAGTTTATAACACCCAGGAGGATATGTTCAGCCCTTCTCTGGAGATCTGTGTTCTCCCTCCAGATTCTCCAGCCCAGAGCTGGAGAATCGGAGGGACCGCAAACTAAGCAGAGATAATTTACCTCTGTTTAGTAAACTGATCTTTTACTGTAATTTCGAGAGATTATAGTAAAATCAGCCGTTTTCCAGAGTTTGTAGACCGTTCTCCAGCGTTTGGAGATCGTTCTCCCTTCGTTCGGAGAACTGCTTCATAAAACTGCATTCTCAGGAGAACTGTGTTCTCTGAGAATGCCGGAGAACTGAGCAGCGATCTATTACCGTTGGTTCATAAACGGACACCTAAATACCTTGAACGGTCTACTTTCCAAAAAAGGGGTCATTTAGGGGATATTTGTACTGTCCTATCCTCTTTGGGACTCAAGAAATGAGCTAGGCCTTCAGTACATCATGATTGATCAATTTTCAGATATATAAACCATAGTTTGTGGACTTTATAACCTTCCCACAGACTAAATAATAAACACTGACTTGGGTTATTTCACCAAAGGAATGAAGCAGAATACAGTTTGCCGTAACTTTCAAAAAAATATATAATATTTGGGGGGTTCTAAATAATTTTCTAGCAAAAAAAAAAAAATGCTGATTTTAACATGTATCACAAAAATGTCAGAATTGTCCCGTACGGTAAGTGGTTAAATAACACAGACATATTCCAGTTTACTTCTATCTGCACATGCAAAAAATATCAAAGACAAAAGCAAATATATATTTTAGGATGAGAAGAAGAACAAATCCATTTGGATATATATACAGAATGTTAACAGGCACGAAAATAAAACCAGAAACCATCAATGAGATGAAAGCTGTCAGTAGAAGCTGACAGAAACCAAATCTTTTTGTGATGCTTAAACGTCTTCCATTATGCTGTAATTGCAGCTCTAATTATATGAGTGTAGAATTAGATTGTTCTAGGTTCTGCCTCCTCTCCAGCGTTTGAGAGCGTCTCATTTCACACTGCAGCCTATGCTTGCTAATAATACATACATCTTTTACATAATATGTCTGATCTATATTGTAAATTTAAATCATGTCTTGTCATTAAATCATCTTGTCTTATAGCATGAGAGTCTTAACACTTCCTTGTTATAGGACCAGGGGCGGACTGACAACTCATGGGGCCCCCGGGCAATAGGGGATCATGGGGCCCCTGTGTCCTTGCCCAAGCTCAAAAAAGCCTATGAAAAAGGTAACGGGCATCTCATGGGGCCACCTACTGACCCGGGCCCTCGGGCAGTGCCCGAGTTTCCAAATGGTCAGTCCCGCCCTGTATAAGACTGTACTGTACAAATATGTGGGCTGCCACTGCTAACCTTCTGTAATAGGACATGTAAAGTATTATGTTTCATATACTTTCTGTGTCTGTTATTGTCAGGATTCAACAGTACATTTCAAACAATACTTTTTTTTTTTGCTCAGGTGGATTTTTTTGTTCTTTTTTTTAGCCAGCGAGCTTTAGGTACATGTGTTTTTTTCTATCTATTAGCTACTTTGCTGAAAAGAATCCTGTTCACAGAGTTGAATAGCTCAAGCTGAAATTGACACACACCAGTCAAAAAGTTGATAAGGCTTCGACTTATCCACTCTTCTCCCCCTCCATCTGAAGAGAAAAAAGATTATTAAAAAGTAAAAAAAAAACTAAAATAAAACCCAAGGCTATTTTCGTTTCCCTATAAAAGAATAATTGTCTCACTGTTATACTGAACCAAATGTTTAAATATTTTAAAAACAGGTTTGCACGTCAGTAGTTCTGACTTTACTCTGACTTCGACTGATGCATGCTTGCTACTGGACATTGACTCAAAGTGTGGAGCCAAGAGATAGTCAGGCAACTAGCATTTCAGAAAAGGATCAGCCTATATATTTTACTCAGTAGATATTTCCTTTAAAACAATACCCTATATTCTGGTCCTAAGGTATTAAAAATTCAAACAATTGGAGAACTTCCCATTGTTCAAATATAGATGTCATGGTGCTTACATGAACTTTCATTTACCTTGCACTTGGCAGTAAATGGATGAGACTGCAACAGCATAAATACAGAAGATTGTATGGTGTATCAGTGGAGCTCCAATACACACAGGAAATAAAATGGAGCAGTAATGAAAGTTAAATGTGCCCTGACCTGTTTTCCTTCTTCAATACCCATAAGGTTTCATTAATCGACAGAACATAAATAATTCAAGTCATCCATCTACACATCAGTGTCCATCCACAAAGAGCTTGCAATCGAATGTCCCTAAACTCACATAGATACATATACTAGGGCCAATTAACCTACCGGCATGTATTTGGAGTGTGGGAGGAAAACCGGAGTACCCGGAGGAAACCCACGCAGGCACAGGGAGAACATGCAAACTCCAGGCAGCTAGTGCCCGTGGTTGGGTTTCAAACCGACGACCCTAGTGCTAGGCGGAAGTGCTAACCACGTAGCCACTGTGTGCCCAATCTCTATCATTAATTCTATCTGACAGATTGTAGAACTCCGGGAAGTAGCTGTCGCTGTAGTTCCGGGAGCCTGATGCTGGACCTTCTAACTACAAAGTGGATGAATTCCTGGAATTCAGCTTTAATGTTGAAGAAAAAGCCTAACTCTAACTTTTCACACAAATATCCCCTCCCCCCCTCCATCCTAACCTATCCTGCCTAACACGTATATAAAAAAAAAGATCTGTGTACTTATCTATTTTCAATCTGGCCAATGTGATCCCACAACTTTGACTCCCCTGTGTAATGGCTGATCCCTCAGTAATGGATGTGAATTCCAGGAGGCATGGCAGCAGACATTTTCTCGGTTCCTGCCTTCTCTTCTTGCAGCAGGCAGTACTGAGACAGGGGGAGCTGGAGTGCAGGATCACGTGACTGGAGTGGATTAAAAATAGGTAAGTACACAATCTTTGTTATACAGGATAGGTGGGAGAAGGGGGGAGAGTCCAGTCTGGGATGTCAGTGGTTGGGGGTAGGTGAGTGTCAGTTTAGAGTGTCAGTGCTGGGGTAGGCAGGTGTCAGTTTGGGTGTCACTGCTTAAGGATAGGTGGGTGTCAGTGGTTGGGGTCAGGCTGGTGAGTCAGATGTTGGGGTTAGGTGTCGGTTGGTTGGGGGTAGATGTGGTGATAAGTCTGGGGTTGTCAAGTTGTTGGGGGTAGGTTGGGGTGTCATGCTAATGTTGTCATGTGGTGTGGTTGGGGTACATGGGTGTCAGTCTGGGGAGTCAGTGTTGTTAGGGGTAAGGTGAGTGTTCGTGCTGTGGTGTCGGTGGGTGGGTGTTAGGTGGGTGAGTTCAAACAGTGTGTGTACATGGTTGGGGGTAGATGTGTGACATTCTTGGGTCTCCGTAGTTCGGGGTAGGTGGGTGTCAGTCTGGGGTGTCAG